CGGGCGCCTCGGGCACGATGAGCGGCAGCTCCACCCAGAGCCCGTTGATGGCCACCCACGAGCCCGTGCCCAGCAGGCAGGACAGCAGGTGCACGGCCAGCGCCATCCCCACGCCCCGCGCCTGTGGGAGCAGAAGGAGGTCGGTGCTGGCGCGGCCTGGCCTGGCACGCAGCGGCCGGGAGCAGACGGAGGGGCGACTCCTGGCCCGGCCGCCCCGGGATGGGACGTCCCTGCCACAGCGTGGCTGCCTGGCCTACCACTTGTGTGCACATGCATTGCATACATGCACTTGTGCAAACACATGCTCACACATGCGGTCATGCATGCAGATGGACACACGCACACACCCCCATATGTCCACGTGTGCACACACATATGCACACGTGCACTCCCATGTGCGTGCACATACGTAGGCTCAAACATACACGTATGCACTCATGCATATATGTGCATGCACATAGAAGTGCTCACGTGCACACAGATACGCACACATACATATATGTAGGCATGTGCACTCATACATGTGTGTGCGGACACACTCGTGAGTGCACGTGTACAGGCACAGGCTCACACGTGCCATCACCTATACACATGCACACAGGCACGCTCACATGGGTGTGCAGATACACGCGCCCACCCACGCCCACATGCACAGGCAGCCACGCGTGCCGGGGGCCATGTTAGTCCCTGGCTCCTGCTCCGGGTGGGGAGGGGAGGGCAAAGTCCAGGCCTGGCTCAGAGGCGACGGCTCCGGCCTCCCCACCCACTACCCCGGGCTGCAGGGCACCTCCAACCTGGGGCTCTGCGCCCCCGGCCCGTTCCCACCCGGCGCCAGGCCCCGTACCTCTCCACACTTGGGCTGAAGACACCTGCCCCCCAGGCCTGCACTGCTGGGCCTCGTGTTGCACCCCAGAGGTGGCCGCATCAGCCCTGCAGCTCAAGCCCGGCGGAGGGGAGCCTGCCTGGCTCTGGGCCAGCCCCGCCCGGGGCAGGGGGGAGCCGGCGCCTTCAAAGGGGATTGCATCAAGGCCCAGGCAGCGGGTGGCGCTGATAAGGAGCTGGGAGCAGGGCCCTGGGGGGGTCGGAGGTCCCAGGGGGTGGGAGGTCCCAGGACAACGCAGGCGCAGGCGGCCAGCAGGAAGCAGCAGTGGGGCTGAGCCAGACTGGTGCAAAGGAGCCGGATGGCTGAAAATCCTGCCCTGCCCCAGCGCCAGCTCTCGCCCCCTGCCCTGCCCTGGCACCCCTCCATCCCTCCGGGC